AGCCGTTACAGGTAATCCATGTGTGTGAGACTTGGGAAGCAAGTGTCACTTTCTTTCTATCCCACCTGCAGGACTCAGGTGAGCCATAAGTGGGCCTGTCTCAGCTGATGACCCAGGTGTGTGGACCTGCCTTGGAGAGAGGCTCGCTGGGAGCTGTGAGTTGCGGGCTATTTTTACTCCTGCTCTCATATGGCACGGTTTTAAATTATTGAGCAGTTGGAAAGATCCCACAATGAAATCGTATTTCATTTGTTTCTCCGTTTATAAGGTAAATCAATTCCCTGGTTGCATTTGGAGGTGAGGACAGGCAGAACAACATGCAGCTTAGGCAAGAACACACCTGCATGTTCCTGTCACAAGCGGGGCTCAGCCTCTGGATGCTGCCTGCTCCCTTTGCCGCTGCTACTTTGACGAGCAGGGTCCCTATACAGCTAGGTTTCCAGAGCGGCCACCTTCTTTCTAGACCAGGCCCCAGGTGGGCCCAGCCACATGGTGCTGCTCTGTAGAAGCAATTTTTGGGAATCCTCTGCAGACCAGGGGGAGGTCCAGAATGCTGGAAGGGGTTTGGCAGGTCTGGCCTCTTTCCTTTGTGGAGTGGGGGTGTCAGTGGAAACTGCAGTGTCAGTTACACTTTGATCTCACAGTTCAGTGGCTTCTCTCCTCTATGCTAGAGACCCCAGGATTCTCTAGAGACACCAAGATGTGCTGAGGCCCCCAAGATGCTCTGGAGCTCCTGAGATGCTCCAGACTTCAGGGTACTCAGATGTAACCTAGCCCAGCCCGGGAGGTCTGATGTCTGGGGATGGAGCCAGGCAGGAAATAAAACCTGAGACAGACAGAGGAGCGATGTGGTGTGGTAGACAAGGCCCCAGGGAAGAGAGGAACCCCCGACTTAGCAGGGATGGGTGGGGGCTTCTCCGAGGAGGAATCTCAACTGGAGCCCAGAGGTGAGGCTGAGCCATCCAGAGAAGATGGGCATCCCCAATAGCTAGGTAGCAGAGTGCCTGATACGCTGCAATCCAACTGGGAAGATTCCTCCCGGCCATGTACTCTATGCTTAGCCCCTGGAATCTACAACCATTTCAGGCCATGACAAGTACAGGAAGGGCATGGTGCCAAAGACTCTGTGCCCTCTCTTCAGAAGGGCATGGGTGTGCATTCAGCTGTTGCAGTTAGTAAGGTTTGCATTTGAGTAAGTTAACGCCTCAGTTTCCACATCTGTGAAATGGGGACAATAGTGATGATGGTGATGGTGACAATGATAAGGTCCTCTGAGATGACATTCAGAGGTCTGGCACAGAGCCATCTCAGGACACCGCACTTACGTCACTGGCTCCTCTCCTCCCAGACCCTCCTGTCTCAGCCTCAAGACACCCTCTATCAGTCTGTGTCAGCACTAAGGGATCCACCCTGCCCTTCCCAGCCCTGTCCACCACTGGTCCTCCCACACTTCCCGAGACCTTCATGCCCCTCAGAGGGGGAAGGAACATCTTTAGTACAAATGACCCTTGTTTTTAAGCAGCATGAAGACCATGGAGCAGTGGCAGGTACCTGTGCTTGTCCCAAGAGCATTTGTCATGAAGAGTGCACCACAGTCGTGGGACTAGCCCATGCAGCCAGACATTCCTAATGCAGGAGGGACAACTGGCCAGTGATGTCCCAATGGGGCCCCAAGGGGTGGACAACCCACTATCCTCCCACTGGTACCTTGTGAAGCCCCACCCCTCTAGGCTTCCCTAGAACAAGAGACAGGCCACGTCGTTCCCCCTGTCTCGGCTCACTTTCTGTTGCTATCACAACACACTGAGCTGTGTAATTTAGAAGGAACAGAGGTTTATTTGGCTTGCATATCTGGAGGGTGGGAAGTTTAAGAGCATGATCCCGTATCTGTGGGACCTTGAGGCGGGTCATCACATGGCAAGACAAGGCCAGCTGTTGGGTCAAGTCTCCCGTCCTCTTCTTCTGAAGCAACCAATGCCACCATGGGGCCACACTCACCTTTCTCTAGTGACTTCCCAAGGCCCCACTTTCAGCACCATCTACATTTGAATCTGGGGTCACTTAAAACACAAGGACTTTTGGGGGACACAGTCACACCACAATGCCCTCTCCAACGCTGCAGAGGAGACCATGGCCCTGCATGCTGTCCTGCACCAGAAACAGTGGGGCAAACATTTGCACAGCAAGGGTTGATCCACAACTTTGGGGACAGGGCCTTGGGGGACCACTGCCTTCAAGAAGCTTGGTTGGACCATCAATAGAAGGAGATGGGAGTCCCCAGGGAAATGCTTGACACGCATGTGGGGTGGAGAGGCCCCCATGGTCCCCACAGTGCCTCTGGGAGGGGGCAGGAGTCATGCAGGGTATCTCTGGGTGGTGCGGGGATGAGCAGGGCAGGGAAGGCAGAGGCTGTGCTGCCCTGTGGTCCCTTCTGCATCTGACCCCACCAAAGTCCAGCTCTGCCTCTAAGTGTCTCACTGTTTCAATGGAAGTAGAGGGCCATGGTCCAACTTAAGACTCTCCAGGACCTCCTTGTGGTCTAAGCCCCTAGAAGGCCTTCTGATACCCCTCACCCCACCCCACCCCAATCAGCTGCTCAAAAAGCAGCAGGCAACATTTTTCCATAATAACTGTAACTTGTGAAATAAATTCTTGCCTGTTTTTCAGTAAATCACTGTCAAATGCATGAGTGAGTGAGTGAAATACAACATGAGGATAGGCAAGGCTTTGGGGAAGATGATAGCACACACTTCTTTCTGGTCTATTTCAATTACATTTATAATAACTATCATTTATTGAGCCCCTGACTTTTTTGCCAGAAGCTTTGGAATGCTTTTTTTATTTTATCCATTTAATTCACGGGTGTGCACTGTGACTTGAAGATAAGAAAACTGAGGCATAGAGAGGGTGAGCAAGTTGCCAAGGTCACACCTGGCTGGAAGACTTGGGGACTCAGATTCAAGGTGTGGTTCAATCTATTCAAATCAGCTGATTTGATTCAAGTCAAATTCTCTGAGGTCTACCTCAGTGCAAGACAAGAGCAGGTCCAGGTCAGGCCAACCTGGCCACCAACCTGCTAGGTGACTTTGGCAGGACTTCTCTGAACATTAGTTCCTGCCCTTGTGACCACACTACCCTGAGGTCCTTCCAGGTTGAGAACTGCTGTGACCGCCCCCCCAGAGCCCCACATGTTTAAAGGTGCCTGCTCAGACAGGTGAGCCAGCTCCCTTGGGAGGTCTGGGATGGCCCACGCCACACTGAACTCTGGGACCTGCCCACAGAAGGGCCACCCTGACTCACAGGGACATTACTGAGAGGTGCAATGGTGGCTTCCATGCTGTCCTCATCAGGCTGGGAGGAGGAAATTATACCCCCTGGGGGGCCCTTAGAAACCTTTGGAGACACAGGGCTGCTGGTGCTTTGGCCTGGTGGGGGGAGCATCTATGGGGGAGTCTGACAGAGAACTTCTCAAAGAGGGTGCTCTCATGCTGGATGATTGATTGCCCAGCCTGTCTTCCAGGCTGAGCTGCAGGTGCAATATCTCTCTACTCCTCTCCCTTTCCTGTTTCATTAACAGGTAATTGTGGAGTGCCTGCTGTGTCCCCATGTTGGGCACTGGGAATAGCGGCAATGGCATAATAATATCAAACACATTTACTGATCTCAGCTCACTGGGGCACACATGTGATTCCACATCTTCCATCTGTGCTCAAAGGTAGCATTGCTTTGAGTTTAAGGATGAGTGATGGCAGAGTCAGCCACATTGCAGGAGCTGATGGAGACCTGGTCATGCTCACAAAGAGAGGGACTAGCCCAGGGTCCCATGACCAAGAGAGGCAGCTGGTTTGGGAAGAGGACACCTGACCCTTTCTGGTATCTCTTCCATTACAGGACACTTGTGTTCTGGGCAAGAGATCCCAGGGGGCAGGCTTCAGAGCCTGTGCCAGGCCTCGTTGGTTTCCAGGGTATGTGGGGCTGGGCTGGTTGCCCAGGACTTCAGCTCTCCTTGGGAGCCTCTAGTCTGGAGGTTTTGGAAGTAGATGGTTGCTGCTGAGAGCCAGGGAGAAATACTGGCTCCTGCCTCAGTAGTCCGCTCAGATTTCACATTTTCTGTATGCAAGCTTCTTTCCAGACAGCATCTCTGAACAGCCCTGTCCCAAGCCAAAGGTCCTTGGTCACTGGCTGTCCACGTGATGGGGGTTCTAAATGCTCCCCACCCTCAGCAACACCTCCGTCTCTCCCCTCACTCAGGCCTGCCTCCTCCCAGTGTCTCTGCAGCCCACCTGTTGTCGCAGGAGACACACAGTTGGGTCCAGCTGCACGTCGCCTCCCTATTCCCCAAGCTCCCTCTCCTGTCCGGTATTCCAAGCCCCGCGCTGGCCGCCTGACGTCACAGATGGAGTCGGTCTTGGAGGGGACAGGGCCAGGACCGTGGTGAGGAAGGACGTGCCCTCTCCACCGTGCGCGTCGCCCTGCGCCAGCGGGATGGCGCGACGGGAGGCTGGGGCATGTGGCGAGACGACGGTCAGCCTAGCCAGGGTGACAGCAAAGGGCGCAGGAATCCCAGGCCCCGCCCCACCCTCTCCCCGCCTCAGTTTTCCCTCTGTAAACTAGAAAATAAGGTGGGCTTGGGCTAGAAGGCCTTCCATGACTCCAGAAAAGCTGCTCCGAGCTCGTTTTTCCATGCATCGCCCTCCTAGCGACTCCGCGACTCTCGAGAGCAGCACTGGGGGCCTCCAGCCCGCGGAGACAGCTTTGCAGAGCCCTCGGAGCAGTTGCTGGAGGCCGCCGCGGCCGTGGCCGGCCTGCGCCTGCGCGGGCCGCGGAGCCTGCTGGGACTTGAAGTCCGCGTGCAGGGCCGCTGCGGCGCGAAGGCGGGCGGCGTGGGCTCGGCGCCTACACTTCCCAGGGTGCGCCCCGCCCGCGGCGCTGCGCGGGGCGGAGCCGTTCGGAGGGGCGGGACGGGGGAGGACGGGGGCGGAGTCGGCGTGCAGAGGGGCTGCGGCGACGGCGCTGCAGGGCGGGCGCTGACAGCTATAGCGGAGCCCGCTGGCCGACAGGCGCGCGGAGGATCGCGCGGGCGCCGCACCTGCGGGCCCGGGCGTCGGGCTGCCACAGCGCCGGGACCATCCTGACTCCAAGCTACAGCGGAGATGAGTGCAGGTGAGTTTTGGGGACCGAGGGATTTGTGGGTCCCCGAGCTGCGTCCAGCTTCGCGAAGGTTGGGTGGCATTCCGAAGCTGCACCTGCAACACGGGGATATCGCCCAGCGGCTCCACCCAACTTTTGCTCCAGGGTTTTGCAGCCGCAAGGGGCCGGCACGCAGCCCCCTATCTCTGCGCCGGGTGCGCGCAGCTCCATGGGACGCGAAGGGGATCCTTTCCCGCTGCGCCAGCCAGGGTGGCTACGCAGGGCTGTCTGGCAGGCGCCACTCCATTGCTTCTCTTGTTGGTGCCCGGGTTGCTCCAGGCTGCAGAAGGAGGTCGGTGTCCCGGTGAGGAGCCCAGGGCCACCCCAGTCCTAGCCACGGAGATATATGTGATGACAGGCGGGATTTTGCAGCAGAGGACGCCGCCCTTGCGCGGTCCCCGCAGCGCCTGAGTCGGGGGCGGCCTGGCCGACCCTGGTCGTCCGGGTCTCGCTGCAATAAACCTGGAAACCCGGAGCTCGGAGTAGCTCCGTATGTGTGTCAGACTAGACAGATCTCCGAGCATCTTCTCCATCCCCTTACCCCTGCGCATCTCAGCCCTGCCTCTCCCACCGCACCCTCCCACCCGGATCTGACAGCCTCTGTGCAGCGCTGCAAAATCCCACGTCGCCCAACCCATCCGCGCCTTGTGCTATTGGAGAAACTGAGACCTAGATCTGGGAGGCCTTGGTGGAGCCTGGCCGGGGAATAAGCTCTTCTGACAGCCTCAGCTCAGGGCTGAGGGCTGGTCTCTACACTCCCCAGCAGGGCAGGGAGGGGGCTGTCTCTATTTTCTAGGGTGCTACCTGAGGCTCATGGGGTTGGGCTAACACAGCGGGCGGGATTCAAATCTGGGGCCCTTTGACTCCAAGCCTGTCTTACCTCTGTCTGCAGTATGGCCCCTAGCCATGGTGCAGAAACCTGGGGACAGCTGCCTCCCTTTGGGGAAAATAGGCCAAGGAGCAAATGAGCATGCAGTGACAGCTCAGTGAGGACTCTCCCCACCAGGAGGGGACACTGTGGGGGAATATATCTCCTCCTAGGGGAGATTGTTTGTCCCCTCCCCCTCCTAGCCAAGAAAGGAGGGACTGCTGGCTGCAGTGGGCGTTGGAGAGTGGCTGAGAGCAAGTGGCAGGCTTGGAGGCAGAAGCTTTTGGAACAGAATTTCTGAAATGGCCAACCTGTTATGTGGGGGTGTCTGGGAGGAGGGCACCCTGAGACTTGGCAGGACCACCAGACATTTATCTAATGGCAGGTGGGGATAATGGCTGGGTACACACCAGCTAATTTCATGCTCTCTGTGACCATAATTGATACCTCTGGTCCCTCCTATAATCAGGAGCCCTGGGAAGGAGCACAGGTACCCCCGCCCTCTGTGTTTATGGTTATTGTCCACAGGGGAGGGTCTGGGCCACAGGGGCAAGAAGACTGGGCTTTGACTTGTGATGTGTGCCTGGTGGTCTTCCCACTGGCCTACTGATCTGGACATGCAGTACTGCTGGTTGCTGGGAGGGGACAAGGCACAGGGTGAAAAACCCTGCACATAGAGAAGCTCTAGATGGTCATTGCTAGGTGACCAAGCCCACCTCCCTTCTCAGTTCACTATGGAATGGAAGTGTGAGTGCCCTCCCTCCACCTGTTGCTCGTGTCCCACGCTGGCCCCAGCTGATTATGTGCACAGCAGGGATTTCACCCACACTTTCTGTGGAGCAGAGTGGACATTGTGATCGCTTGTGCTTGGCATGTGGACTGTAACTCTCAACTGCCGTGCACATTGACAAGTCGGGAGCTTCCGCCACAGGGAGCAGCCTATTCCCACAGAGGGCTGACATCATTCTGGAGCTTGGCACCATCATTCTGTGGCTTGTCATCACCTGTCCAGTGTCCCAGAGGGGTGGGATGATGAGAGCCCAGGGTGACTTATACAACCTCCTGGGCCAGAGGCTCAGGACCAAGGCTTATCTGTGGTCTGATGACCCAGGGCGTCTCTAAGCATTGAGGCCTTGAATTTGCCATTGTAGCTTTGGTTGCATGATGATTTCAGGTGGCCAGGGAAAATGTTTAGACATTGCCATGACAAGGTGGAAGGAGATAGGGGTTCATGTCAGACAGGCTAGATCCAAATCCAGCGCACTGTGTGGTTCCCTGTGCCTCAGTTTCCCTAGTTGCATGGAGTGAATGCCTTTAACTCTGGGGTGTAGAGCCCTGTAGATGCTGATGAGTGTGATGGGTGCCTCATCACACCACAGCCTGGCTGGTGGTCAGTCGGGCCAGGGAGGCAGAAGACAGCTGAGCTGGAGCTGGGCATGGGGTCCTAGTGTCAGCCCTCTCATCAGTGGACACTGGATTCTTGGGCAAGCCCTCCATACCCACTGAGCCTAGAGTTTCCTCTGGATGGCTGGAGGTCTGGCAGGTGGGATTTCCCCACTGGGCAGAGATAGTGGGGTGTTTGCTTCCATAACAACGTGCCGTAGACCAGGTGCTGCATGGGAGTTTATTTTCTGACAGTGTAGAGCCCCAAAGGCTGAGATGGAGGCATTAGCAGGGCTGGATTCTCTGTTCTTGGCTAGCAGACGGTGTCTTCTTCCTGTGTCCTCACATGGTCGTACCTCTGTGTATGTGTGTCCTGATCTTCTTATAAGGACACCAGGCAGACTGAATCATGCCCACCAACTGACTTCATTTTACCTTAATGGCTTCTGTAGGCCTGTCTCCATGTGCAGTTACATTCTAAGGTGGTAAGGTTAGGACTTCACAGTAGGAATTCAGCCCCTCCAGAGGTAGAGGGCCTGGAGGGCTAGCACAATTGGCTGTTGTGTTAGGAGCTGAAAGGATCTGTGGATGCTCCAAGCCCACCCGCTCACACAGAGGGGAAACTGAGGCCTGGACAAGGACAAGCAACCATCCAGGGTCAAGGAGAGGGCATGGCAAAGCCAGATGCTGAGGCCTGGTCCTCTGACTCTCCCAAACAGAGACACACACTTCGGCTAACACAGAAGGGTAGATGATGATGGAGCTACAGAAATATCCAGTTAGGCATTACTATAATAGCAGAAAGTTAGGAGCCATCCAACCGTGCAGGTGAGTGATGGATATTACTCATTCATCCATTTGTCTCTCCATCCATCCATCCACCCAACAAACACTCAGCATCTACCATGTGCCTGCATTGCTCCAGGACCTAAGATTCAGCAGTGGACAAGAACGTGAAAGTCCACAGTCTCTTGACACTTGCATTCTAGTGGGGACGAGTGGGAGACTTTGTGTACTTAACCATGTGTGTGATTACCTTTTAACGCGAGGAGAAAGTGTGTAAGAAAACCAGTCTAATTTAGAAACAGTGGAGGAGCAGCTCCTCAGATCTCAACTCCACAAAAATGGCAAAGGAAGAAAGAGAAGGAAATACATCAGTGTGTCTGTGGGAGCTGCCTGCCGTGGAAAGAGGAAGAACCAGGCTGTCACTTGCACGGACTTTCCGGGGCTCCTCATCATTGGGTGGTGCTTCTTTGCAGTGAACGCCAAGTATAAAGAAAGCAAGTGTTGCTCTGACTCTCACGAGGACCTTCAGTGGCTTGGGGACACCCATGATGTGAGCAGAGGAGGATTCCATAGTGAGGGGCCACTGTCATTTGCACAAAGTGGAGCTGGTGTCTCCCCATCCAAAGCTTGACAGAGCCAAGCACAGGGAACACTCTGTGCTTGTCTTCCCAGCATGGTGCCATTCTGGGTTTACACAGAATTGAGACCCCCCTGACCTTGACTTTTACCCAGAATCATATCTGGAAAGGACCCTGGCAACCCATGAGTAACACTCTGTGGTTCCCCATGGTCCCCACTGAGCTCTGACCCATTTCCCATGACTTCCAGTGCTACTTCCTAACTTGGCCACCCAATATCCTATTTTTAAAAATAGTTTCTGTTTATAAGGTAGTTTGATATCTTCCAGAATCAAGTGTTGAGTTTGATGAACTCTTGAAAAGTCTAATCTGACTGTCTCAGAAAAGGGAATGTCTCCTGATGTGTGCAGAAGTCACTTGCCCAACAACTGGGGCTCCCAGAGCACATGGGTACAGGAGATCTTTATGCCAGCAAGAGAGAACAGAGAGGCCAGAAGAGGAAAGGAGAGGGAGGCGGATCAGCTCTGGGGAAGGTGCCTGTCCCGTCACTGGGCCTTTAAATGGGTACTGCCTGTCCACAGAGCCAATCCAGGCCACTGTTGCTGGCACTAGCAGCTGCTGGGACTTTGGGTTGCTTACCCAATACCCACCCTGGCCTGGAGTCCACACTCTTCCCTGCATAGACAACTTGGGGCCCCTCTGTGTGCACTGCCTCCATAGGACTTGGTAAGGGTTTCCCCAAACTCTTGTGCTGGCATCTTGGGTCTGCTCTCTGCTTAATCTTCCCAGGGTCTTGGGGGAACTGAGGGAGCCGGGCCCTCAGCAGCCAGTGCAGGGCAAGTGTAGAGACTCGGAGCAGCTGAAACAGCTGCAGCAAGAAGACCAGGTGACATGTGATGGCTATTGAGGATGGTCACATGGGTGTTTGGAGCTGTTGAGAGCCCAGCAGTTTCCAGCTTTAGCACCTGGCTGCCCAGGGTTCATGGGAAGCCCCGAAGCAGCAAGTGCCCCACGGAGCAACCTGAGTGCAGCGTCTTTGTTTACTCGGGAATGTTTCTGTTGTAGCTCGGGTATCTAGCACTGGGGGGACAGGCTTAAATGTCACAGCAGCCGTGGCCCATGGAGTGCTTCCTCTGGGCCCCAGGCCAGACCTCATAGTTTCTCCTGGGATCCTAGGCTGCAGGTGCCACTGGTCTCCCCCCACTGACAGATGGGGAAACTGAGGCTCTGGAGGTTCCAGCAGCCCGGTGCTGGTGGTTGTCACAAAATTTATAAGTGGCAGAGCTGGGATTCAAATCCCAGTGGGCCTGACTGAGCAGTCTGCATATCTCTTCCACCTCTGCACTTGACTGACAGTG